TGTGACAGTTGCGGTAGGCGACACCGATACGTTGTAGATGTGATGCGCTCGTGCTTAGCTTGGTTAGCAACATAGGCCAATGCAAGTCTCGGCATTGTCTACTTTCCATCAATGTCCGATGTTATGTTGTTTTGTTGGCATAAAAAATATCATCATCAAGGCAATAAGCTACTCTACTTTAATAGATTGGAAGTTTCTCGAAAAAAAAAACGATGAGGTACAAGGTTGGCTGAGGTCAAAGTGCCAATGGATTCTATACATTGAATTGTCGCACAGAAGTGTGAAAACCTTTCTACCCCGTCCATTCCTAAATACAAGTTTTTTAGAAATTTCATTATGAACTACATATAGATGTATATATATATATTTTTTAAAGTGTAGATTCACGATGGCGTTTTGGCTCCCGGGAGCATTTGCTCCCGGATGAACAATATCTTAAAAAGAAATGGTAAAATACTTTTAAAAAGTTCTATTTTTTTTGTGAATGTTCATGTTAGTATCGCAAGCATGCTTGACAATTTTCATGCAAAACGAAAGGAGTGTTTCATCGGTTGCAAAAACAAATTTAGGGTGACATTTTTGGGTAACATTTAGTGTTCAATTTGTTTTTTTGCACATACCAAAATGTTTAAACTTTTGAGAAAATTTCTTATTTGACACTATCTTAAAATCTGCTTCCTTATTTGACACTGGAAAAGTTTTTCATCTCTATTTGACACAAGTTCTAAATTTTATTCCTTATATGACATTTCCGTCCATTTTGAGCCTAAATGACACCTGAAAAGACTCTTTTGCCCCTCATGTGGTATGTGTGTGGGGCCAATAGCGCACACACGCAGCATCAGTGCGAGGGCAGAAGCACACACGCAACAACACATACACATGCACCAACACACACGCACGCGCACACACACGCAACAACACGCACGTGCACACACACACACGCACACACGCAGCAACACGCATGCACGCACACACACACGCAGCAACACGCATGCAGCACACACCCACATACACACACACGCAGGCAACACATAGGCATGCAACAGCGCACACACACATGCGCGCGCACATACACACGCAGTAGCAAATACACACGCAGCAACACACATGCACACACACATGCAGCAGCAGCGCACATGTGCACGTGCACCCACACACGCAACAGCACACATGCGGGCACACACATACCGCATGAAGGGCAATATCGTCTTTTCAGGTGTCATTTAGGCTCAAAATAGACGGAAATGTCGTATAGAGAATAAAATTTAGGACTAGTGTTAAATAGGGAAGAAAAACTTTTCTAGTGTTAAATAAGGAACCAGATTTTAAGATAGTGTCAAATAAGGAATTTTCTCTAAACTTTTTGCCTAAAACTTTGCAGTTAGCATTTGAATGTGCCTATGAATACATAAAAAAAGTTGTTGCGATTTTTTAGCATTTCAAAAATCATTTTCCACGTGAATGAGCACGTGCTCCCGGGAGACAAATTGGATTTACGGGCTGAAGCCTCCTTATGTTCCTATCGCTATATTGTGCGGTGGGCCGCGGCCTAACAACACGCTCGTCTTGTTTTTCTCTTCGCTCAGGCGGTGTCCGGGATCCACTAAAAAATTAGGGTTTGGAATTTGCTGGAAAAATAAGTTGGTGTTCTATGTACTTAAAAAATGTTGTTAACTCTATGTTTTAAAAACTGTTGTTCCCTCAAAAAAGAAAATTTATGTCCACTTTGAAGGAAAAAACGTGGATAGCTGCTCCAAAAAATGGAACCGCCATTTTATAGATTTAGAATACATTATCAAAAGTAAGTTAAATAATAAAGAGAAAAAAAATATTAATATTAATATATTAAAAAAATATTCATGTCATAGCAGAAAAATGTTCAGACGTTTAGAAAACGTTCTAGATTCTGAAAAAATCTTCATGAGTTAAATATGCATTTATGGATTTTTTAAAATGCTCATGGTTTGACTAGAAAATATGAATCATTTTTAAAGTTAGATTATCACAATTCTAGAAAGATGCCTGCAAAATTTAATATTTTTCAATAATTAGAAAAATGATCATTAATTTATAAAAACATTATTCAAAAAATCAAAATGTTTTAGGAAGTTTGCATTGTCGAAAATGTTTATGATTTTCATAAATATTCATGAACCTAAAAATCTTTCATGGATTTGGAAAAAATGATAAATAAAAAGAATGAAAACCAAAAATTGTTAATGAAAACAAAGAAAATTATGAAGTAAAACCAGAAGAGAAACCGAGTGTAATGGTAGATGAAAGGGAGAAAAGGGTAATAAAAATCCAACGAACTTGAGAAAACCATGGAAAAAATGTTGGTAAGTGTCTTAAAAATGAATGTTCATAAGTTCAGGAAAATATTCCTAGATTATGAAACAATTGTTATGAGTAAAAAATGTCGTTATAGATTTTTTTAAATTCTCATGATTTGTGTAAAAAATACGAGTTTTAGAAAAAAATATTCAATATTTTTTATGAAAGATTATCAAAATTTTAGAACGATGCCTGCAAAATTTAATATTTTACAGGAATTCAAAAAATACTCTTTAATTTATAAAAAAGTTAAAAACACTATTAAAGTAATCTAAATGTTTTAAAAAGTTTGCAAACTCAAAATTGTTTGTGGTTCTCATAACTATTCATGAACTTAAAATCGTTCATGGATTTTTTAAAAAGAAAAAAAATGAAAACCCCGGAAAATAAAACTGATAATGAAAACAAAGAAAAATATGAAGTAAAAAAATCAAAAGAGAAGTCGAGTGAAAATTCTTCAAAAACAACCGAGTGAAATTGGTAAAGGAAAGGGAAGAAAGGATAACAAAAATCCGGCGAACGTGAGAAAACCATGGAAAATATTAGAAAGTGTTTTAGAAATGAATAAATGAGACCGTTTGAAAAAATCAAAGTTACTATGTATGAAGAAGGTGATAGTTGGTCGACCCATGTTCCGGTTCTGCTTACTTTTTTTCCCTTCATTCTTGATTGGGTTTTCTTTTCATTGTTTCACCCATAAACTTCTGCCCAAAACTTAACTAGTCATTTTTAAATTAGTGTTGGTGTTTTTTTTAGGGGAGTGTCCGTGTTACATATTGCGAAATATGTTTCAACAATGCATTTTATAGATGTATTGGGGTCTTATTAAAGATGTGCCCTAGACCTAGGACCGGACCTTAATCCTTGCATGTGGATAGGTTAGCACGTTTGAGAAAACCAGTTGTGGATGCATGTTGTCAATAGAAATGAAAATAAATAATAAAAATAGATGATGTCTATGAAAACAAATTATACTCATTATTCTACAACATAGACGTAAGAGACGATTGCTTACAGTCATGCGATTCTCCGGTACAGGTACATGTAGATCTGGACGACATTTATGATAGACCCCTTTGATTTATCATTCATCTTCTCTAACTTAAAAGGAGAAGAGGAGGAATTGACTACTATTGGTCATGTTCTGTTATTTGAATAATTCTTGAATGTTGTAGA